AGTGCTCATCAAAGGGACCACCATTTTACGGTTACTTGCTGTGGGGTCGCACCGTTGAGTGCGTATTCACGAAGGCCAGTACCAACCAATCTAACCACGTGTAACCACGTGATGTAACAGTAAGACGAGATTTTCAACTGCTCTTCAAAAAAAATCATTTTTTGCCCTTCAGTGCCCACTCTTCTAAATCCAGTCCACAGTTTCATAAACACCTTCCCTGAGGGTAAATCCGGCCAAAACTCTGTTGCGAAGGGTTGTCTGCTCCCCTGAACACGAATATCACATTTCGCTTAAAGCGAAAAATGCCTGGCATCTGCACCACAGGCTCCAGTCTATTTTTGGCGCCAGCAGCACGTAGCGAACGTATCAGGTGTTTTCAAGACAAGCAGGTGTGATGTTCCTGTTCAATGGTCAAACTACCCAGGAAAACAAATCCTAGCTAAAATTAGCATCGGGAGAAAACTCCAATCAAGCTGCATGGGAGAATTTTGTGCCGAAATCTTACTGGCGCCATTGTTTTGTCATGCTCAAGTATATGGGAGGCTTAATAAACAGTATCCCTCTATAAGAACAGCCTATCACTGCAGCCTCGCTGGTCACGAAAAGGAGAAGCCATCATTCGCCCAGCACAATCTGGGCGAATCCGGTCACACGGCATGCCTGTATACATAGCTGCTTCGGGCCCGCTGGCTTGATCGGATTCGCGTTATTCTAGAGATCTTATCAAAAAATCTTCCACAATGTTACCTTTTATGAGTGTCTCTCTCACACCCGGTAAACAGGAGGGCATTGTTCACGGGCACGCCAAGAGGGGAGACAGCCAAGACACTCATACTTGGCCGCACCCCGCGCGCGTATCAGCCTGCCCATTGAGGCCCCGAACCCGCAGACCGCGAAATTGTTAACACTTACGGCTACTTCTACTACGGCTACGGCCACTTACGGCTATACATTGTATAATGTTGCCATCTACATGCCAGAAACATCGCCATTTGAGGGCGCGACGTCGCACGCGACGCCCACCTGGACGGCAATTACGATTTTCTTGTCACATACCCCATCAAAAGGTAACTGGGAAGGACAACCTGTCACAAAGTACTATGACAGACTTCATGTCATGACAGCTGCAAGAGTGGTCTTCATGGAAAGCTAGGAGAACGCTCGCGAACAGGTGACGTCTGCCAGTTATGTGTAACATGTACTGCGCTTTATTAAAAGAACTGGGAAGGTACTGAGCGCGCACGTAAAGAAAATGAAGATATGACAAGTGCCTCATAAAAGTCTTTAGTCTAGTCGTTTCTCGTGTAAAGCATAAAAAAGACGAACATTTTCCCGTGATTCCCTTGGGAAATACTGGTCAAGAAGAGGGCTAGAAAGGCATTAGCATTCTTGGATAAGACCACACAGCAGTATTCCACTATTGCTGCTACAAAAACCCGAAGAAAAAAAATTTTTGCTGAAAGTTCGTCCACAGAGGTTCTTCAGGGTCTTGATCACGAATATGATATTCATCTTTGGCGCTGCGCAATTCGGCGCCGCCACCATATATCTCCCAAAATCTATGTGTGCTTATACGTACGGGCTTATCTGAATATCCTGATCAGCGCAAATATCACTCTTTCTTCTCTATGACGCTGGCGCCATTTGGCGCTGATAAGCACTAGTTTGGCACCACCACATTTTTCGAAGAAATCAATGAAAACTTGTATACTGTGTTGTGTGCTCTGATACCTACTCGATCGTCATTCAAAGTAACTGCAATCGTTAGAGTTTATAGTGAATAAAAAAATATAGGTTTATATATGAATAAAAAATATAGGTCCATCTGACATACCTGAAGCATCTCGTCATGGCTTTATACAGCTGCTTTCGGATAGGGATGACTTCTTTCATTCTTCAGTTGCACTTTCAATCGCTTCGATCCAATTTGGAACCCGTTCATCGCAGCAATGGCATTTTGTGCAGATACTGCATTATCATACGAGACAAAAGCCTGAACACAAAAAAATCAGAAAAATCAAAGTAGATGCCGTAAAGTACAAGAAAAGGATATACCAAAACATTTGGAGAGGTTCGTGACTTTATCGATGAAAACCTTCGCTGACAACACAGTGCCAAAAGGTGAAAAGGTTGTTTGTAAATCCGAGTCTCCGAAATCCTGAAAATGATAACATTCAATCAAATTCCATGGGAAATCAATAATCAAATTTCATGGGAAAACAAAAAAACGTTCCATAAATTTTTCGCACCTGAGGTAAATGATATATGAAGAGGTTGGATCCTTCGGGTCCCTTCACATCACCACTACCTGCTCCTGACACGGAGACTTGTGCGCTTGCATTCATATGGGATGCCAAGGCATTTACTGCAAAAATTCAGCTTGCGTAATTGCATACACTACACAGTACATTTTTAAAAATAATATAAAATGATTATTATGTCCTGAACCCTCAATAGTGAACACGTAAAGATAATCAAATTTTCCAACGAAATATGGTATGTAGCCCATGAAGTCGCTCCGTTGGGGAGCATTTTTCAAACAATGACCCCCCCCCTCCCGTGAGCCCGAAGTCCCAACTCGGGATGCAGTGTAAAGAGAGGGCGGTGATTTCGTACATTTTGACCAAAAGGTTCAATTGCAAGGATACACGCCTCCCTCTGCGTTAGGATTTTCCCCAGCATATGAGGTGCCCGGATTGAATTCTTACCCCACTCGTTACCCAGTGCCGCTTTTCTTTCCTAGATTCTGCTCTCCACGCGACAATCTCCTGCGGCAGTTGAGACGAGGCATCCCCCCAGGCCCCGCACCCAAGTCGGAGCTGAGACAGGGCGTTTGGCGCAAGGCAGAGACTATTTTCAGAATTCGAGCAGCTATTTAAACATTCCCGAGCGGAGATGGTGTACAGGCAATGGCCCGCTTACCACGACCACGGTCCGAGGATCGAATCTTAAATCGGCTAGCGTCCAGGCCAACCAAGCCTGCTATCCGCCGGGGATGGCAAATTGGTACGAGATTACCAGTATCAGGTACCATACCAGACTGGGAGTATAAAAACGGTGGCCTGTACCTCAGTTGGTCCCCGCAAGTTATTGTATAGGCCACTTCGCATTCAGTTAGGCACTATCCTGAATGGGAGCACAATGCGTACCGCATCCCAATAAGGGAATGAGAATCGGCGGGAGCTCCATTCTTTTTTATTTTTCAAACTTTTTGATGGTCCTAACTTGGGACCTTGCTACATTCTGCTCAAGTCCAACACAACTAGCATGTACCTTTTTCGCACGCAGCGAGAGCAAACTCCACACACCACTCAGACTCTTTATAACTTCTCATTTTTTTTACAATAAAGAGAACTGACCCGCTCAATGACTGCCCCCCCCCCCTCTCCAACGCCCTGAATGCAATTGACCGCCCCTTCCCCAACGCCGTGAATGTAAAAAAAGCACGCGCAGTGACCGAGTGTTTGCAAATGTTTGTTTGTCGGCTTCAGCCAAAGCAACACAAAATAAAGAAGAAAACGTACGAGTATAGTGCTGCATAGCTTGCTGATACGGATCCATAGCTCCTCCTCCACCGAATCCAGCAGTACCTGATGATAGCGCAGTACCGACTGGAGAAGCAGCTTTTGCAGCAACAACTTGAACACCATTCGTTGGTGCATTTTGGTAGACCGATGAAAGTTGAGCTGCAAACGGCTGGGACATGGTTGGTGCCGTCACGGCTCCCGTTGCGTAACCAAACGCAGCCAAATCGCCTAAAAAACTGTCATTGCTCTTGCACTGGATCTGGTGGAAATATGAGTCTTTTTTCTACTGTTTAACAACACAGAAGCAGTAATAGCTTTTAGAGCGGAACGGTCTCATCAAAACCTCCTCGGTCCTGACGTCAATAAGTATTTGCGGCAAACAGTGTACAATTTATGTAAGTGTTAGCTATATTATAAAACGCTATTTGTCACAGCTTGAATGTTTCAGACTGGGCCTTTGAGTAATCATTTTTAACAGAAATTTGGTAAGAAGAACGAGAGCTTTCAAAAACAACAGTGGTTTGTAGATGAGTTTTCTTCTCTACAAGATTTGGATCTACCACTGTATACAGGGGGCGGGGGGGCGGAGCCTATAAGTCTGACAGATATGTTTTATCTACCATCTACTACCCACCTCTAGTATTTTAGTTAGTGTGTATCTATCTGTATATTATTTTATCGGATCGATTCTTTCACTACCATTATCACCATATGATACTCGCTACAGCCTTCTTGAAGGAGCCGCATCGAGAGATTCGGCCGCGCGAAAGTGAGTGGGTACCGGAGTTGAGCGAGATCGTTGATTTCTCCGCCACTGTAGACCACCCTGTTGAGCTCCGCCCGAACCGAGTAATTGAGGGGGTTTAGTTCAGGACCCCGCTTAAATACTCCATCTTTTCCAGGTACTCAACGTTCTTCCATTCCAAGTAGGCGAAGAGTTTTCCAAAGCCCTGTCGATTCAAATGTGTTGTCACCTCCAAATCCTGCTGCCAGTCACACAAGCTTAAGAAGGAGGCCGACGACATGAAGATGGGATATTTCCTCGAGTTGCTCGAGGTAGCTAACCAGCGCCACACACTCTCAGGTCGGGCCACGACAGAACAATATCGGTTCATTTTCATTCCAGTACGCGCCGGTCCACACCATCAACCCCACACCTTGGTGAATTGGTGAGAGATCGAATGTAATTGGACCGTATGCGACGTTGCCGGATGCTTGCTCGATGTTTGAGGGTTCCCTGCAGATCAAGTAGGTATTGGTCTTCCAGTATGCTATCCATGGTGATGCCATTCAAAAACGTTCCGCCTTGCACTCATGGCGCGACTGGGGATGACGCATTATATTTTGGTGTACGTGAAGGGGATGCGGCAGCCTGAGCTCTGCTTATAGAGGAAGTCTTGGGTATCTTTCCCGTCGTCCTGGTACTCATATCCATCCTTCTCCTCTGTCTGGGCTCGCGAAAACTTTCGCTCATACTTGTGTACTTGGCCGTATGACTTTTTTTATTGTCCCCCCCCCCTGGTATTCCTGCTCTCCCTGTACACCACACCATATATTATTTCTTGATTTTATCAATTTATCTTCATGAAATGGAGGGTCGGGGAAACACAAGTGAGAGTTTGTGATACTAACCCTTTTGTACTTAATCTTAGCCCTCGAATTGAGGAGCAGCCCTGAACTTTAGATGTATAGGACCAAAGAATGATGATTCTTACAAATCATTGGAGTTGGTTCAAGCGATTCAAAGATGGGAGTTTGGACCTCATGAATGTGCATCACATGTGGCTCTTTCTTGGGGGGGGGGCGATTGCCTGCACAGCCCATCCACCAACTTTCAAACCTCTCCCATTAAGTGGATGTGATTTTCAGTGAGAACGTGGAATGCGTGCATCTACCAATTCCCCATTCTTTGGTATGGACCTCCGTGAACAAGCTGATTCAGTAAGCTTCCAATCGAACTCAATAAGGTATCCGTTGTTATGCTTGTTTGTGAGGTTGAAATCGGAGTCTTTGAACCCTTTAAACCATTTTGTGCTTCCCGGAGAGACATTGCCTTTTTGGTCATATACTTATCGAATGGGCCTCTGCGCATTCCCTTTTTTTTAATTGATTAGAAAAAGGACAGGATGTTGAAAGCGCTTCATTCCGTAGACCTAACTTTTCACTTTGAGCATTTAATAATGGAAACAATCTTTAAGAAAATAAGCGTGCCATTTTATGGGGCGAACTACTCTCTATGAGAGGGCGTAGAACTCAATGGTAAAATGCTCCAGCTTTGACGCGAAATCTCAAGTTAGAGGAAAATGCCACTACTTATGGACCAACCCAATAGTGGGAACATGAAAAAGATGGCCCATCGGGACAAAAAAAGACAATCAAAGTCAAACTTAGCATTTTCTTTAACAGGGAACGACGCCATTAACACAGCACGAATTACAAGAAGAAAATGCTCCATTTTTCTACCCACTCATCTAAGACAGAGCCTTTTAGTACAAGGAGTGCTTTTTTTCGAAACGTCCGAACTTTTGTCCAACTAGCAAACCTCTTATCGCCAAGCTCGACATGAGCTCGCAAACTTTTACCTTTCTTTCTAGGTATTCCCAGAAGGCCAGGGAAAGGAAATCACCTTTTCGGTCCACGTATGTATCCCAACAACGAAGGGCCCACGACCTG